AGAGAGAGAGAGAGAGAGAGAGAGAGAGAGAGAGAGAGAGAGAGAGAGAGAGAGCACCAATGAAAGCAGGTGGCACGAATTTCATGAACCACCAAGCATAGTGCACGTAAAGAGAGAGACGAGGGACGCCCCAAGCTACCCCACCGCAGCAATGCATGAAGCACGTAGCATGAGGCATGTAGCACGTTGTATGGTAGGTCCCCTAAGCAAAGCAGTATGGTAGGTCGTGGAGAGAGAGAGAGAGAGAGAGAGAGAGAGAGAGAGAGAGAGAGAGAGAGAGAGAGAGAGACGACATGCTTCGTCCCACCATACTGCTTTGCTTAGGTGACCTACCATGCACTGCGCTACATGCCACATGCTATGTGCTTCGTGCATTGGTGCTGGCAAGGTAGCTCGGGGCTCTCTTTCCCTCGTCGCTCTCTTTACGTGCAATGTGCTTGGTGGTTCATGAAATTCGTGCCATGTGCTTTCATTGGTGCTTCATGCATTTGTGCTGCATTGCACATGCGACAAGCTACATCCTTACTTGCATCGGTGATGGTAACACAAATCTAGGGCCGTTCACCATGCCTATCTTTGCATAGGCGTGCAGCATCAACATAAGACAGTCATTTTGGTGGAGAGGTAGGTGGGTTCCAGTCTTCCAGATACACAGGTAGGCAGGCAAGCAAGTGGGCTGGCAGGTGGCCAGGCAACCAGGTATTAGGCAGGCACCTGGGCAGAAAGATGGGCAGGAGGGGCAGGCAGAGCAGTCAAGCTCTCAAGCCGGCAGGTCAACAACAGTACTCATACAACAGAAGCAACTGATTGTGCTTCAATTGTTTGCTTTCTGCCAGAGAGCCTAATATTTTTTCAGTTATATACATGATAGCTGCTGTAAATTTATGGAGAGTTATAATGATTATTGAGGCACTGTGCATCCCTGTAAACTGCACATTCGCAGCTCAAAGTCCGCACCACACTGGTCCGCAGGACATGATGCATGTGCAAGAGAAAGTTACAAAGGACAGCTTCCAGAAATTGCCACACTGACCACAAATGGGCCCAAATATGCTAGCTAATCAACTGAACAAACTGGGGAGATGGGGAAATACATGCTCCTCGCTGATGGGTCGGGCGCTGGCCCTCAACACCTCCGTCTTCTCCATGATGTGGTATATTGCGGCAGTATGGACCATCCCGGATGACTCACTCAAAGAACTGAACCAGGTAGCGAGAGCATATCTGTGGACGGGCAACCATAACAGAGGGAACTGTATCCCTAAAATAGCCTGGCAATACA